TATATATATATGTGTGTGTGTGTGTGTATACTATGCTCGAGCTTGAATAACTTTTCAATCTAAGGCTAGAGCTCGAATATTTGTGAGTTATTGAGTTCGAGCTTGATGCTCGTTTATAAGCTCATCTTCGCGACCGACTAGCTCGTTTATTGGCTCAAGGTTGTTTTATATTTTTATTGCATTATTTATGAACATATGAGTATGTTTGGCTCGAATAAGTATATGCTCAAATGGCTCCGTTTGTCTTGACTTGAAAATTTTAATCGAATTTTCAAACGAGCCAAGACGAACATTGATTTTATGAAGCTCGACTCGTTAAGTTAAACGAGTTCTATTTTGCGTTCGAGATCGATTCGAGCTCGAGTAGCTCTTTAAAAGCTCAACTAATTTGCATCATCTCTTTTACTAAGGGGTTGTTTACTTGCAGCTTAATTAGATTTATTGGTATGTCTAGCTTATTCGCACAGCTCATTTGAGTTGTTTACTTACGGCTTATTCGCACAGAACATGGCTTAAACGTAAAGATGGAAATGGTGGGTTGTCCCAATTTAGCCACAAAAATGACACCCCTACCCCTTATTTAAAGCACTGCCTCCTTTTTATACAAGACACCCCATCGTCGGCCTCTTTATGATTTTTTGTTTTAATGTTCAAATAATTAATTTTGGGGGATAAATCGATCATTTATGTTATTTAGACTGTTGGTTCAGATAAAAAAAGTAAATAACAACACTCATTTATCCAGACAGACAAATTTACCCATACAGGACTTAATAAAATTTTTGATAAACAACCCCTAAGAAAGTTTTAGATAATCTATGGAAATAAAAAATTACTGGTTTAGTGGGATGATGAAAAATTGGATATATATCAAGAGTAGTGATTTTGAGAGAGAGATGATCTTAATTAATTAAGCATCCTTGTTATCCTTTGCGTTCGTCTATGGCCTAACAAACCAACTACGGGGATGTTTACCAAAGAGGACGGTCAAAGGAGAAATCGACAGATTTTTGAAGAAGAAAATCGCAGATTAGGTTTTTTTTATGGAGAGGGTAGATAAGGAAACCATGACTTTTACCATGGTAAGCTTCATTTTTTTTTTTGGAGTCCCCACTAAGAGGACGGTCAAAGCTAATAGCCTGACTGTTGATTTTCAATTTAAGTAAACATTTTTACCTCTTACCCAAATAAACATCTCTTAATGGGTAAGAGGGGGTAAGAGATTGGTAAACGGGCCTAAGTATCACTAAGTTGCATCCCATATGTCACTTTTCATTTTATATATAGGATTTGATCTAGTGCTTCTTTACAATTTATTCTAACCTAAATTAGCAAAATGAAACTTATTGGGCTTATTTGGGCCAAAAATATTGGCTTAGAATATGTTATACAAACTATTTGATAAGTTAGCAGATAACTAATATGTTAATTGTTAACTAGTATGTTTTTTTTTTTTGTAAGGGTGTCCGGGCCAAAGCCTGACTAATCCCCGGCAAATTTGGAGGCTAAACATGGCCCCACTTAAATGTCGCCAACACTCCCCTCCCAGGGCTCGAAGTCGGATTCATGACTATGTCATGCCCAAACCTTTACCACTAGGCTGGAAGGTCTTTGACTGTTAACTAGTATGTTAGGTGATGATTAAATCATGTTTGATAATGACTAGTTGATAAGCATATAAAATGACCAAAAAAGAAATTTTGAAAATAAGTAACTACAATATTTTTATAATATAATTAAAACAAATATTTAATAATCTATACTATCTTATAAAACATTTGGCTAAAACTCTTAAAAACTCTTAAAACTCTTAAAAACCCTTAAAACTCTTAAAAACTCTTAAACTCGTTCATCCCTATCCGATTTCATCCCATATCTGAATTCGTGTAACTAACTGCAGATAAGCACAATCAAATACAGGATAAACATCTCATTTTAAATATAAAAAATCTAAAATATAATTAGTATAATCATTAAATTCTAACAGAATACTTAATTATTATCTTTATAAAATTTATAAAATTTAACAAAAAATAAATTGTATATAAAAAAAATTATGTATTATAAATCATTTGACAAAAACTCTTAAAACCCACTTTTTATGCGTAAAGTACTGTTTATTAATGTATATTACTTAAAACTCAAGATTACAAGTAATTGTGCATAGGTACAACTTATTAAAGTTCCATATCTGAATTCGTGTAACTAATTGCAGATAAACATAATCAAAATACAAGATAAACATCTTATTTTAAATATAAAAAATCTAAAATATAATTAGGATAATCATTAAGTTCTAACAGAATACTTAATTATTATCTTTATAAAATGTTATATTATTAAACCAAAAATAAATTATTTCATTATTAAAC